GTTTATTACCTTTTCACATCTCCATTACCATATAATTTTATGAAAGCTATTCCACATGATATACAATATTGTATTAAGAGCTAGGTTTGCTTTCTCTTTTGAAAAGCCTTGGTTCGGAAGATCTTCTACTATCATAATCTTGTAAAGACCATATATGTAACCTTCTCTTTGATCTTTCCATTCTTTCTGATATTTTCCAAATAGGCTTCTTTGAAGATTATATGCTTAAAGAATCATCTTCTTCTTAGGGTCATCTATAAGAGCCTGAACTGTTTCTATTACCACATGCTCAATTTCAGACTATCAATCCTCTTGTGCCTCACAGCTTGCTAAGTGGTCTTGTATCTCTTTTATATTTTGTCTGCATATCTTGCAATTGTTTTATTTATACAGATTTGGTTTTCTCTTTGCAAGACTGCTTAGTGTTGGCAGTTTATTATATAGATACTTAATTAAAAAGTTGAGTTTTTTTCTCTTTCTTATTGATGTATATCTAATACCACTTTGTGATTTAATTTTTTTCCAAAAATCTTTCCAATCTCATTTTTGAAAGTCATCTCTTGGTTTGAGTATACTTATAGGGCTTAATACTCTCTACTTTGCTATGACTTTCATGTCTTCAAGCTCTTTAATAAATTTTCTTGTTAAGATTTCAATAAGCTTATTTTGCCAATAAATATTATATCTGAGTCTTGAGTTTGGCTTTACTTCTTGCAGCTGTAATTTGGATGCTTCAAGTCTTATTTTTGCCAAGTGATCTGTTTATCATTCCATTTGTTTTCACTATGGCCTTTAACTTTGACTAATTCCAGCTCTAGTTCTTTCATATGCTTTGTTTCTATAATCTTAAGTAGCAAATTATAGTTTTTCTGTCTTAACCACTCTCTATTTACTTGAGGCTTCCTCTCTTTCCAATTGCATCTATTGCTGTAGTGCTATCAGTATAAATTTTAACTTTAGTTCTTGCAGAGGTGGATAGTAAGACCACCTATATTGCTGCTAATTTAGCACTTATTAATGATGGCTAGTGGTTAATACTAAAGCTCCCTTCTTGCATCTTGTATTCTTTATTTTCATCAACTTGTAGCCAACCCAAACCTTGTTTGCACACTGTTTCTTTATCTACTCTCTTTTTCATAAGTGAACTATCTGTATAAAATATTAAAGTATTTTGATCTAATTCTATGTTTTTACTAAGTCTATCTAAAATTAACTTCTTACAATAATCGCTAAACCCTTGTCTTTTAATATAATCTATTTCTAATCTATCTATACAAACTTGGTTAGCCAGGCTTGCATATGCTATACTATCTGACTCTTTAGCTTTTTCTTTATTTAGTTTTATTTTATTATTTTTTTCTGTCTTCATAAGCATATTTCATGATATGTCTAATATCTAACTATTGATCTGCTTTCTGAGATCTTGAATTGTTGTAATAACTTTTTCCTTATTAATCTATTTTGGCTACTGAGTACCTTCTGATGTATTATCATTTTTATCTATTCTAACCTTGCCTTCCTTCTCCTCACTAATAAACTATTTCTTTACTTGTATTTTCTTCTTCGTTTTTCTAATTATTCTACATATATTTAGTTTATTTTCTTTATCATCTACTAGTTTCCAGTCACACTTTTACTTATCTTTTAAAATCTTCATCTTTTGAACTGTAAGTACAAGTTTATTTGTACTATCTGTTTGGAAATCACATCTTATTTCTCTTGTATTATGATCTGTTATTAACTGATCCTTAATATATCTAAACCAAATAGGAGCTTTTCCTCTACTTGATCTGTTTTTTGTTTATTTGAGATAAGACCACATATCATCTGGTTTCTCTGCATATTCAAGAGCTATTCAATAAATATCAGATCTAACACATCTAAGACCTTTGCATACTGAATAAACATTTCTTTTTCTAGTATACTATATACTGTTCTGCCTATATTCTTAATACCCCAACTCTCTTATATTGGTCTAATTATTATCTGACTTTTTGCTTTTTTTACTAGAGTCAACATTGCCTAATTATACTTCCAGAGCTTTTTAAGAGCTATATGCCCTTCTCGACCATCAAAGTTTTCTGTTAGGTTGGCTATTTTGTGTTCCTGCCAAATATATAGCTTGGTAATCTTGCTAATTACTCCTTCATCATTCAGTCTGTTATGCAAACTTATGACCTGCTTTTTAGTAATTCTGAACTTAGTCCCCTAAAGTTGTCTATATTTTTGTGTGCAACTATATAGTTTCGCATTGCAATTTGCAAATCTAATTTATTTTTTGCTAATCTTAGCATTGGTTGATAAATTTTGTCTATTAATCTTTTGGATACTCTTGATAGCTACAGTAAGTAGCATAGTTTTGAGATAATATACATATTATTGATGTATGCTAATTAGCCTATTGTAAGTTTTTTCATCTTAGTGTTTCAACTGTTTGCTGGATTATTTTTCTAGCTTTTTGATATATATCTTTCTCATTCATTTTACAATTAAGCCACACCCCAAGCACTCTTGTTATACTGCTCGCTTTTTCTTCTTTGATTTTTTCATTGCCAAATATGATATATCACTTCGCTGTTTTGATCTTGAAATTAATACTATAAGGATTGATTTTTTTCTATTATCGCTGTTTGCAAATTGATATGACTTTTGATAAAATCTGCAGGTCACTGCATGCCCAATTGTCTGATTGCAATCGATTGTACATGATTGTACATGATTGTGCGTAATTGTATGCAATTTCTCAGTGAATATTTTTTTTATCTGAATTTTATGAATCTATAAAATTCAAATAAAAAAAAATTCATCAAATTTGATCAGGTGGTTGCTGAGGTATCATCGCTCAGTTTTTTTTTTTTAAGAAAATAGCAATGTTTATCATAAATAGAAGCTGCACCAAAATTTACTTGAAACTTTGAGTGAAAATATCTTAGAAATAATCTGATCAAATTCAATAAATTTTTTTTTATTCGAATTCTATAGTAGTATAGAATTCAAATAAAAAGAAATTTATCAAATATTTTTGTTAGAAGTTTTTTTTTTAAAAAAAAATCAAAAAAAAACAAATTCGCCTATAGTACAAGAGTAAAAAAATGTAGTAACTATATAGTTCTTGTCTGTTTGAGCTAATGAGCAAGAATATTTTAGTAACTACTTATCTTGTTGCAAGTAATGTGACTTTTGTTCAAATTTGTAGATTTGCTACACATTTGATTGTTCAATTGTAAGCAGATTATATATGATTGTATGTATGTATGTAATTGTGCATAATTGTATACAATTGTAAATAATTGTAGAATTTATTTGTAAATGTATAGCAAAAAAACTAATATAAAATAGCTTTTTCTTCGTTTGATAAAATTATCATAGATAGTGTTGAATACCTTATAGGTACTTGTTACCTGTGTACAAAATGTCTTTATTGCAAAGAAGATTCTTCAAAACTTTCATGTGAATGTGATAAAAATATATCACCTAAAACAAGAAATCATACAAAATTAGTTCCTTATGCTTTTACAATTCGTTATAATGAAAAATTTAATAATAACCAAATTGAAGCTTTAGAAGATTCAAAAGAAAAATATAATTATAATATAGAGTTTACAAAAGAGTTTAAATTTTCATTTTGCTCAACATGTAATAGTAAATGGTATTGTATGGGTAAAGCTAAATTAACAAAATCAGATTTAGCTAAACCTATTAAACAAGCAACAAATATACCTGAGACTAATAACAATCATATAGCTTTCAATGATCATACATCTTTTAATGTTTATGTGGAGACTAATAGATTTGATTCTACTAATTTCAATATGATACACCAGTTTATAATAATTTGGAAGATTTTTTAAATGAAGAGGTTGAAGAATCAGATTTAGAAGATAATAATAGTGATTTTAATAAACTATTAGAAGAGTTAGATACCAAAAATAATAAGTATAAAAGCAATGAATTTTTACTTAAATTATGTATTAAAAATCAAGATAATATTACAATACCTGCCAAATGATTGAATATTTTAGCAAATACTTGTAATGAATTTCATTATCAAATTCTTTCACATATTCAACTTCAACTAAATAATACTACTATTACCGAAAATGATTATATATTAGCATATAAAGTAGCAAAAGAAACTGGAGCAGGAACTCAAATTATTGATGAAAAGGATTTTAAAAGTTTTATTGAAGATTATAATCAAGCTACAAATAAAAAAAAAGATGTGTTTATTAATATTCAAATACAAAATAACTCTTCAAAAAAATGATTACATGGATTGGTATATAATTTATTATTATTATTTTTTTTAAAAAATTCTTATTAATTTATTAATTGTTATATTATTTTAGGGATCCGAAGAAACTAATAGTGATGATGATTTAAATAAAAAAAAACCATGATTATTCAGTAAAAAACCTAAAGAATCTCAACTTGATGATGATAAGCGTATTATAGCATCTACTATTTCTCAACTTTGAGAAAAATATTTTTGTGCTAATTGCGAAGGTTCCTGCTAGGTTACTAAAACAGGTCATATTAAACTATCAGGAATGCATTATACTACATGGGCTCGAGCAATTGTAAGAGTATTTTTTTATATTTATTTATTTATTTATTAAATATAGTAAATACTATATTTTTATTATTAAAAACAAATAGATAAATGGATTAGCAGATATTGACACACCACCTAGTCATGCAATATTTACATCTC